CAGATTCCGCAGCGCTGTACAATTAGTGAATGGCAATTAGCATAAAGAAATGTAAACCAACAAAAATATGATGACATAGTAATAAATTAAAGCTGCTAAAAAACACTTGATTTGAGCACTCCAAAACCCAATAAATTATACAAGGAAGAGAAAAAAACAAACCCAGTGTTTAGGTGATATGACCCACCACCAAATTAGCATAATCTGCATACAGATATACAATTTAAACAATTTTATATAGACTATATGCAAAAAAAAAGTCAGTCTACAGTACAATAGACAAATAAAAACAATAATGCAAAGACAATCGGGGAGATTTATTAACACAAAAGTGCTATTCTGGGATAAAGACCAAGGACCAGTCAGTACAGAAACCAATAAAATGCATCTCAGCATTTAGTCCTCTGAAGCCAAAACACTACCTGTTATACCTTAAAGGACCACTATAGTGCCAGGAAAACATACTCGTTTTCCTGGCACTATAGTGCCCTGAGGGTGCCCCCACCCTCAGGGTCCCCCTCCCCCCTGGCTCTGGAAAAGGGAAAGGGGTTTAAACTTACCTTTTTCCAGCGCTGGGTGGAGAGCTCTCCTCCTTCTGGGTGGAGAGCTCTCTGGCAAGAGCTTTCCTATGGACGCTGGCGTGCTCTCACTGTGAAAATCACAGTGAGAAGCACACAAGCGCCTCTAGTGGATGTCAATGAGACAGCCACTAGAGGCTTTGGGGGAAGGCTTAACCCATTAATAAACATAGCAGTTTCTCTGAAACTGCTATGTTTATTAAAAAATTGGTTAACCCTAGCTGGACCTGGCACCCAGACCACTTCATTAAGCTGAAGTGGTCTGGGTGCCTAGAGTGGTCCTTTAAATCTCCCTCATTATTTTATAAAATCTGTTCGAGCACTCACAAAATGTCCTGTTCCTTATTTGATCACAAGGCCATTGTCTATGTTTTCCCTGCCTTATGGTTGAGCCTGTCATTATTAAAGCTCAATTTTCTCCTTCCTGAGTTCAATATCCCCCAATCCTTAATATTTCAATATGAAGACGTGCAAAATATCTGTTTTAGTATGCGTCTTACTACAACAACAGCTTCTCTTTTAAGTGCAGCTTTGTTAAAATAAATATTTGCTTAAAGATGAATAGCAATTTTTTTCCTATTCATATCACTGCTCCTATGTCCAGCATAGTATGAATAAAAAAAATAATAAATCAATGAACTATCTGCTGAAGATTCTTGTTTCTAGTCATTAGCTTTAGTCGTTTATGTTAATTCAGCGTATAGTGTTGTTTAAAAGTTGTCTTTTCTCTGTTCCTGAGTCTTGTTCCTTGTGTGCTTAACATTCTCTGCTCATTCCGAAAGTCTGTAGGGGAAAATCATCAAACTCGTGGCTTAAAGCCTTGTTCTGCCCCAGCACATTATCTGCTCTATGTTCTTGACACCTAGAAATAAATGTGTACCCAGTGGGAAACATTACCAGGCATATTGACAAAATACATTTTTAAGATGCCCTTGAAATACAGATTAAATACATATGTGAATAGATTTGCTTTTGTGAAATCAACTGAGAGAAGACCATTATAATCCTTTAAGTAAACATCAGTGAAATGATCAGAGATGTTCTGAACACATTAATTGATTAATATCCACATTTTCTAGCAGAAGATGAAATTGTATTTCTTATTTTTGTAACACATTTCATGAGGGTAGATTTTTGTCTTGTTGTGTGCGTTTATTAGGCTTATGCCAGCGTGTTTTTTTTTTTTTAGATTTATGCAGAATCAACAAATGTGGTTTTTCAAAACCACTTTGGCAGAATGCTTTTTTAAGTTTTTTTTTTTGTGATGACAGGATTAATTAAATGCTGTTATATGACTTTGCAGAATTTTGGAACAGGAAAAGATTTGTCAAGGAAATCTGGGCAACCAGGACAGCAGAAAAAATGGTGACTATGCATGTACCAACATACAAAAATTGTTACAATATTGTTTCTCCTATTGGCTACGCAATAGCAGGCATTTTTGCAATGACTATTCTGAGTTGACAAAACTAGATTATTATACATCTAGATTAAAACATTGTAAGTGAGATATTTTTTTTTATCACATATTATGATTGATTGTAATCTGTTTCCTTCCTGTCATGGGTAAAATAGAATTCTAACCACCAGATTCATAGCCACCACCAAGACTAGACTTTGGAGGCACTACTTTGGTAGGATCAGTCTAAAATGCAACTAGCTTGATTCTTTTTTTTAGTGGCACAAGATGAGCTAAAACCAGCTTGAGATCTGAGTGGGGACCCACCGAAGGACAGGCTATTTGAGCTGCTGTCCATTCTCAGTGTTCTCTTGCACCTTGTTTTTGGCTCTCCCTAAGTTTAAAGGGAAATCCAGAAGTGGACCTCTTGCTCACGGTGCCTAGAGGAATTTTAGCTATATCTTACTGACGATACCTAACAAGGTTGAAACAATCATCTGGGGTTTCTGTATCTTTCGTGCAGAGAGAGCCAGCCTGTGTTTTGGATCTGGACCACCTTTTTAGGTAGGATTTATCTGATATACAAGTAGCTTGGTTCTTTTTGTAATGGCACAAGATGAGCTAAAACTAGCTTAAGATCTGAGCGGGGACCTACTTAAAGGCAAGCTATTGAGCTGTTGTCTGTTCTCAGTGTTCTCTGGCACCTTGTTTTTCTCCTCCCTAGTCTGTAAACTAATACAACTTTATTTAGCAAAATTGGTGTTTGTGTTGCAAAATGGGTTGGTGCTTGATGGAATTACTACTGTAACTTTATTGTGTTTGATTTTAATGAATACAGCATTGTGCTCACACTCAGGGGGAAAAAAAAGGATTTACTTCCTGCTAACAATTAACAAAAAAACAACAATAGCTTCCACCAATTTATAACCTATTTTACCACTAGGATTAATGACAAAATAGTTATCATCTATCTCCCATTTAAAGTTGTTTCAAGTGTACCTGGCAGTAGTTATCTAGCTAGATACAGCACTAATCTAAACATAGTCTTACACTAGAATCAGTGACCCAGGATAGGCAAGAAGAACTTTTTTTTTTTTTACACATTTTATTTAATCGAAACAACTCCTACCTCCCACTCAAAGTTGCTTCAAGTGCCTCTTGCAGTAGCTCGCTAAATATATACAGCAGCAAGCTAAACTTACCTCACACTAGAATCAATGACCCAAGCTATATCCCACTCCCACAAAGGCATGGCAAGGGTAAGACGCATATTATTACTGCAAGCCTGTCTACCTCAATAGCAGTCAAAATTTTCTCTTTTTTTCTATTGGTCAGTTGTCACTTCTGTACATAAAATCAACATTTACTAGATGTTCTTTAACCACCAATCCTCTTTTTGTTTGGGCTTGTAGGAGTCAGTTCTTCCAAGATTGACATGAAATCAGCCAAATTCCAGTATAGCCCAAAACAAATCTAAAAGTCTAGAGTTTTTCACTAATAAATATTTTTAAAATAAACTGAATTGTTTTTTTTTTTTTTTTTTAAATAACCTTGCAGGGTTTTTTTTCTCATTGATTAATAACAAATATAGGTGGAAAGACAGATTGAAAGATATATACACGTATCCCACATACCCCATCATCTATGACCTGCTTGTGAGTGGGACTGGAATGGCCAATCAGTGAGAGGGCCAAAAAGGTAGAGAGAACTCTGGTGCTACTGTGTTGTGATTTTGATCAGTTGCAACTACCTCTCCATGGTACACTGAGTAACCAGAGAATCTGTGTAGGACAGGATACGGTCAGATAGGGAAATATCAATGTACAGTGTGGATGAATGTCAGTGGGGATGAATAGAGAAAATGGAATTGTCAGGGTACTATAGCTAGGCAATATTATGGAAGTGGTGGGGGTTTGTGTGGGTCGAGTATGAAAAGAAAATAGCACATTTTATTACTTTTATTTCAAGAGTCTTCACACAATGAAATTGTTGTACCTCACTAGTGCACTAGTGGTTATATAATCTGCTGTAATACTATTGTGGACACTTTATTTTCCTGTTTTTTTAATTTGAGACAAGAGGTTGAATGTTTCTCTCTATACTATCTGTTCCACTCAGTATGAGATAGGGAGGGTTAAAGACAGAGAAAGATTTTCTAACATCCTTTGCAGGTCACTGCATTACTGAGAAATCCACATTTAACTCTTTCAGTGATTTGGAGAAATAATACGGGAAAGATACACTAATCAGAAATAAAACACAACATTCTTGCAGTGAAAAATATGTGATAATTGCTGCTGCAGAAAGAATAACATTATGCTGCTGATGATTATAAATAAATCATGTTGATCAAGGCTACAAAAATAATGTAAAGTGAACAATATTTGGTTTGTATCTTAATATTATTTATTTAAACAATAACTGGTTGTGCTGCATTGTGTGCGGTCTCATAGCCAATTGCTTTCCATTCGTCCCTTTGTTATTAGACAGTCCTTCTTTTGTGCACAACACTCTTTCCCTCTTTTCTATCTTAATATCTCTAATTTAAAGATATTAGATATTAAAAGAGATTCACAAAAATAAAGCTCACAGCAATCTGTTTTTAAATATGTTTAAAAACAGTCTTCATAAATAAGAAACCTTTGTCTTGTTTTACATGACAGGCTTCAAACACTGCTAGAGTGAGTGCCTGCCTAGCGATTATACTTTACTATGGTATAGGATTCATGTAAAATTTGCTTGTGTTTCCTTTTTTTCTCTCCTACCTTAAAATGAACCTGCCACCATTTAACTCTGCATCTTCTCCACCGCTGTGATCTCATTACATTTCTGTAACAACCACCTCTGGTCCGCCTTTGGTCTTTTCACTGATAATTCCCCAAGCAGGGCAAACCTCCTCCATGATGACATGCTGGCATTGTTGCCAGTATGCCAACGACTGAAGGGAGTGATGTCAGTGACTACGTTCCTTAACTACCTAGCTAGTGCTAGCGGCATAGGCTAGGGCAGGGATAGGCAACCTTCGGCACTCCAGATGTTGTGGACTACATCCCCCCTAATGTTATTACACCCATAATGCTGAAAAAGCATAATGGGAGGTGTAGTCCAAAACATCTGGAGTGCCGAAGGTTGACTATGCCTGCCCTAGCCTATGCCGCTAGCACTAGCTAGGTAGTTAAGGAACGTAGTCACTGACATCACTCCGTTCAGTCGTTGGCATACTGGCAACAATGGGAATTACCAAAGCAACCACAGTGCATGCTCTCCTTTATTGATCAATTCCTTAGCATAGAGTCTGTGCTGAAGAATTGATTGACAACAGGTGAGAGAAATAACTAGATTAAGATATATTTTTTTCTCCCAATTTAAACATGTGTTAGCAAAACTGCTAGCACAGTATAAAGATGAAATTTCATGTTCTTTCAAAAAACAACAACAACTTTTCAGCTTGACAGGGGCCCTTTTAGATGTCAACCTTCTAGAAAAACCTAACCCATTATATCAGAATCGGCAAAAGACAAGAGTAAACATTTAAAGTGGTCAGTCCATGAAGGTTATGTTGCAAGCAACTTGCACAATTCAAGATAAAATATTTCTAAACTGGCTGTTCATTAAAGGCAAATCACATTAAACGTCACCTATTGACACCAACCAAAGGCATTGTCATCTCCGTTCAATTTGTCGAGAACCTAAAAAACAATTGACTTGATATGACTAATGAAGTGGCTACGGGCTGCTCTGTAAATAGTTAGAAATATCAAGATGCCCTTTTTCAGGTGTTGATTTGAGCCTAGAAGGGCAACTGACTGGTAGTGCTGTTTTTATTTGGCTCTGAAAGAGTTAATGAAATGTTTCAGAAAGGTAGTTTACAGTGTTTGTGTATGACTAGGAATTAGGCAGATTACGTACCCTTGTTAATATCTGTTAGTTCCAGATTAGTTGGGGGAGGGAAGTAAATCAAGTATGAGCTAATTATACACAGCAATCTATCCTCGTTATAACTCTTAATTGAATGACTAAATAGAATAATCAGCTCATGCCATCATCCAATTAGAGAGTAAAATTTCTGTTTCTTTACTTTGGTGATCAATACAGATTGAACCCAGTTGTTTGTTTTCTGTACTCCATTTATTATGGACTATGTCATGTAATTCTATTTTCAATTAAACAGACTCTTGCATGCTACATTAAAATATAATTTTATATATTTTTCATTTAAGTAAGCCAAAAAAGTGCCAGAGACACTAGTCGCATTGTTCACTATAGCACAAATGGGGCAAAACTTGCTGGCTACATACATGGACTATTCAGACCGCAAAATCCAATGTTATTTACACTATTCAACAATGTCCAGATTTGCAATTTAGACCGCTTAAGCAGCCAATAGGCAAACAGTTAAAAACACTTGCCAGTGCAAGATTTAATATGCTAGCTAGCCGCCACAGTAAAAAAAGAGTTAAAAATAAATAAATAAAAACCCAATGGGGGAGTCAATAAGACCCCCATATTACTATAAGGGAAGTTTAAAGCCATTGCTGCCCAGTCTATAGAAAGGCAAAATCCTGTGATGATGGAGCCTGTTAATTAAAATTAATGGGGATCCTCAGATACCTGGGGAAAGGGGCAGTGGATATGTATTTATTTGGGAGGAGGCAATGGCATATCTACCCACAATTGTATATTATTTAAGCCCCACCTGTGCCCAAAGCTGCCAATGGGGCTAACGCCACCCCATGAAGGTCCTCCAAATGAATATTTTTATTAGTGCCTCCACCTCCCGCCAGTAGAGAGGACATTAGGTCCTCCATCCCAATATTACTATTAGGGCCCCTATCCACAGCCAATAGATGGTGACCTGTGGGCCTTAAGTGGGAGATGGTGGTGGACATTGATCTGTCCACCCCCAATTATTTATTTTAAACTCCCCCACTCAATGCCTATGGGTGGAGGCATGAGGTAGACAATGTCACAGTGGCTCTTATTTAGCAATGGCTCAGCAATCTCTAGTTTAATAATAATATGTGCCCCCAATAATATATGCCCCCACCTGCCGCATAGTCTAAAATATCAAAATTTTAAAATAGTTTTCAAGATATAAAATAATTTTAAACGTTTATCTGAAAACATTAAATAATTTGAAAAGCCTATCCAACGATATTAATCAAGGCCATTGTCCCTTATTCAATGTTATGTATGGAAGGTTTGATATAAATGGCTTTTATATTGTTACCTCTTTCGGTCTCAAATTTATGCCATTAATTTATTTTACCAGAGCCAAAGATCTGGTGATTCCTTTAGAGCTTTAAGGGACATACACAACTTGACAATATTTTTTTAAACCAGAAAGGAAACACTTTTAAACAAATATAAAAACAAAAATAAAAAAAAATAAAAACTTTGAACACTATGTAGTAAAAGTTTACAAACATTCTATGCCAGATTGCATTGTTGGGCACGACTCTCAGCTCGGAGAATGTCTTCAAGTTGAAATCATCTTTTCTCCTGCAGCATCTTAGATTTTCTAAGGTCATCCACAGAAAAACATTGATGGCCAATTTGCACTTGTTCATCTGCGTGCGACCAATAGGATTCTCTTCATGTCAAGGCATTATCGAATGCTTTTCTGTGGAAATAATTAAAGGAACACTACAGCGTTAGGAATACAAAACTGTATTCCTAATGCTATAATGTTCCTATGCACTAAGGTGATTGTCCATAATCCTGGATGTCAAATCCTGTGTCATTCGTTTATGTTCCTTTTTACGGCGGTGCCAATTTTGATTGTGTCCCCGTATAACACATTTGTGGGCTTCCCATAGGACCAGGCGTGCTGTTTCTGGTGTGTCATTTTCTGCAAAGTACTGGAGTATGGCTGTTCGCGTTGCCTGCCAAACTTCAATTTCAGTGAGGGCTTGTTCATTCATTTTCCATTGGTGCTCCACTGGTTTGAATAGTGGGATTTGTAATTGGGTCAGAACCGGAGCATGGTAGGATCAGCCCTGTGGTTGTATAACACTGTCTCATTGTAGGTGGAGGTATTCCTGTGCGATCAGTATGTAGTTCAACCTGCTGTATCTGTGGTGTACGGAGGAAAAATAGGAGTAATCTCGCTCATCCGGGTGAAGAACGCACCAACTATCCGCAGGCCAACATCACTTATCGTCTTCTGGACAGTTCGAAAGCTGTTTCGGGGAAAGTAGCTGTGTCCCCTGGAGGTATCTAAAGCTATATTAAGATCACCCACCACAAGGAGGAGCCCCTACCTAAATTTCTCTAGGGACGATATGACTCGAGTGAGAAAGTGATATTGTCTCACGTTGGGGGCATAGATACAAGCAAAAGTATATGTGTGGTCTGCTATCATATATGTATATGTGTGGTCTGCTATCGTAAAAGTATATGTGTGGTCTGCTATCGTCCCCTTCTGGAATAGGTATCAGCCTCCTGTAGCCCTGTGCAGTGGAATGGGATCAGTTGGGAGAACAAAATAGCGACCCCACCTTCCTCGCGTCCATATGGTTGGCAAAGTAACCCATTGGATATCTGGAGTCTTTAAGCGTAGGGTGATTTGTCTCATGGAAATGTTTCATGGAGGAAGGCCACTGAGGCCCTGGTTGCTCACACTGTCCTTAGGAGATGTGACCTCTGTTCGGGGGTGTTTAGGCCCCGGACGTTGTAAGACCATAGGTGCAGCAAAAAGGGCGTGAAACCCGGGGGCCATGTTGGAACTGCCCAAGAGCCGCCTCCCCTGGGAAAGGGATGGGTAGGGAGAGGAGGAGCGAAAGAGGAAGAGTCTAGAGGAAGTGAGAGAGGGATGGAGAATAATAGAAGAAAAAAATAATAAAAAGGGGGGGTGGGGCGGAAATGCGGGTGGGGAGGGGGGGTGGTACTGCAAGAACTGCAGTGAACTATGTACAATTAGTATGTGAGACCAAGCACCTATAGCGGTAAGAGGCAGGAGGTCCGGTATATTAGTATCAGTCCCCTGTCTCTGTGCTCTGTAACCAAGAGAGTGTCCATCTCCGGGAGAGTGGTCATAACCTGCACAGTGATATAAGTGTAGGTCTGAAAGAGGTGTACTTGCACCTGTGATTTGTTGTTTCATAAGGAAGTGAGGAGCCGTGTGTGTGGGTGCTCTGGCCCTGGCTGAGCAGTTATGGCTTGGAATCATTATTCTCGGTCAGGTGAGTGTCTGTATGGTGTAGATACCGTGTGTGATGGTGGTAATACCCCCTCTTCCCCACGTGCACCCCAGGTCTAGTCCTCCATGGCTTCCCCAGACCCCAGTCACCTCTACCGGTGGGGTTTGGCTGGGGGCACCTAATTCCCCCATGTGTGGGCCTTCCATACCCCCCCACCCCCCCTGCGTCCCTCATCCGTGTCATAGTTGTGTCCCTTCCACAGACACAGACACTCATTGACAGACACCTCCAGGTGCGGCATATCCCAGGTAAGTATGCTAATCCTGATCACCCGGGACCATGGCACCTTCCCTATGTGGCAATGAGGGTAGTTGCCCGATAGGCATATGGATGTCGGTACAGGTGCATAGCATACCACAGTACAGTGTAACATTCCTCAATAAGCAATCTCGCAGTCCAAGTAATCCTCCCAAGTGCGGGCCAATGAAGCCCCCCTCTAGAACCGGTGAGAGGCCAATGCATCTGGCTCCAGTAGCGCTCCATCTCCACCAGTCCTGAAGTGGGGTAGGACCCAGGGCATGAGGTGGGCATAAGCACCCAGCATGCAGGTCGGGTGAAAGCATGCTGTGTAGGCGACCAGGCCTGGCTATCCAGGACCAGTCATTACAGGGGTCCCCCCCATCCCACCAGATGAGGCAAGCATGGCAGGGCCTTCGTGGGGCCGGCCGCTATTATTTCTATTTGGGGTAGATGGTATTCCAGGGCAAAGGGGGACCCCGCTAGCAGTCCCAAAAGTGGGGGTGGCAGAGCGGGGGCATCCAATTCTTCATGCCCCCTCCCAAAGTAAGTCCGTACCCACCCCACGCAGGGCCGTCTTTAATAACGAATGGACCCTGGGCAAGTGTTGGCTTGGGCCCCCTGTGCCCTGCCGCTCTCGCCCCTCACTCCCTGGTATGCAATCACGGCATCCATCCCAAAGCAGT